TTTGTAATGTTTTCTTACAAAAAGACAAAAGCAACACAATACAACATTACAGCGAGTATGAATTACAAAGTCATGAATGTCTTATTTCTCACTATCTTTACAATTAGTTTTTACTTCTTGTCATTTTTTTGTTTGTTTCTCATCAAATAACAGTTTTCAGATCTCCTGTAGGAGCTTGTTCAGTTAGTTTGTTTTTACAGGGCCAGACATAAAACCGAAGTCCTTAGCCATGTTAGGCAAGTGCTCTGTGACTCACATACACTCCTAGACCTTAAAATTATTTTGTTAAAGACTAGTCCCCTCTTGACAATTCTAGCAACAAAAATATTTGGATAGGAATAAAACACCACCCTAAATGGGATGTTTCCATCAAATTCCTCTCTTCAGAGCTCAGGGAACCCTGGAGAAGAGAAGGCAGAAAGGGTATTAGCACCAAAGGGGATGGAGGATACCAGGAAAACAATGCTATCTAGATCAATAGGAGCAAAGCTCATATGGACGCACAGAAACTGAGACAGCATGCACAGGGCCTGCAAGGGTCTGTACCCCGTCCTCTGCATTGGACAGGATATTCTAAACCATCAGCTTTTTCCATTCACAAAACCAATAACAAGTATAATGGCTAAGGAACTAATGCACTGGGCACCAAGGCTGAGAACCTGAGATCAATCCTGGAACCAACATGGTGGAAGGAAAGAACTGACTCTAGCAAGTTTCACACGTACATATCCACTAAAATATAATAAAATATATTTGATTTTATTATTTTATTTTACTTTTGGTTTTTAAACAGAGTATTTCTGTGTAGCCCTGGCTGTCTTGGAACTCAATCGGTAAGCCAAGCTGTCCTCAAATTCACAGAGATCCACCTGCCTCTGCCTCTGCCTCCCAAGGAGGAGTGCTGGGATGAAAGGTATGTGCCACCACTAACTGGTATAAAACATTTTTTTAAAAGAAAATATACATTCCTAGAAGAGTATAACTTATTGTGAAGTAGAGCCCAGGAAGATGACAGAGAGACAGAAGGCATTTCATTAAGATCAAGCAGAAATGAGACAGACAGACTCTTAGAATCAACAGCAATAGTTCTGGTCAGTTTGTTTTTGAGATGGGATATCATGTATATCAGGCTAACCCTTTGAACTTGCTATGTAGCTAAGGTTGACCTTGAATACTGTCTTAGTTTCAGTTTCCATTGCTGTGAAGAAACACTATGATCAAGGTAACTCTTATAAGGGACAATGTTTAATTGGGGCTGGTTTACAGTTTCAGAGGTTCAGCCCATTATCATCATGACAAGAAGCATGCCAGCATCCAGGCAGACATGGTGCTGGAGGAACTAAGAGTTCTACATCTTCTTCCAAAGGAAAACAGGAGACTGTCTTCCAGGCAGCTAAGAGAAGGGTCTTAAAGCTCACCCCAACAGTGATGTGCTTCCTCCAACAAGGTCACACCTACTCAAACAAGACTGCACCTCCTAATAGTGCCACTTCCTGGGCCAACCATATTCAAACCACCACAAATACTGACCTTCCTTCCAGCTTCCAAATGCTGCAGTTTGGGTGTGTGGAACCCATCCCAGGTAACACCTACCCTATCATTAAGCATTATTGCTGACACTATACTTTCACTTTTTTAGTAATTAACTTCATCTCTTCACTTTGTGACTAACCTTTAGGAAGAGTTCACTGTACCAGCACTGCTCAAAATAAGGTTGAGTAGGGAGTGGTCAGGTACCTAAATGAAAGTAGGAGACATACTGTTTGTTACTGAGAGAATTCACTTAGAAACACTCACAGCAATTTTACGGAGTATTTTTGTCTCTTGACTCCTATAAGGCTTGAGCATGTGTTAAGCATGCCTTTTTCATGTAATCTGTCTTGTATTTCATCAAAATGGAGCACTTTGATCACCTGGAAACACAGACATCCAGACCTTCTTCATCCAGACTTTGATATTGGCCTCTAAGTACTAAAACATCCAGAAGGCACTCCCAGGTGAGTCGGGAGATCTGGGAAAGTTGCCTTCACTTCTACTAGTTTCCACCTGTGAGGATTTACAAAAATTTCATTTAATCCACTTAATAACCAGTGAGACTGATACTATATAACCTTTCCCTCTGAGAACAGACAATTTCGAGACGATAATTGGCTTGCAAATGGAAGTCTGTCAGGCTTTTCAGCTCTTCTGAAATCTTGATGTAGGATTAATTGCCACAACAATGCCCTCCTGTCTTCTGTCATCAGCCACAGGCATAGTTTCTTCCGGACCAGTTGTTCCAGGGCAGTGACAACCATTGATGCCTATGTGTCCTTAGCAGGCAGTTCCCCCAAATGTCTCTGTTAGAAGAGTGACTTAAGCAGTGGAGTATGATGTATTCCCTGTATCACATGTAAGCTTAAAGTTTAATATGTAACAGCAAATCAGTTCTCATTTGCTACAGGTATCTACACAGACACACACTCACGCATGAGCCTGCTTATACATTTGAGGGGCTTTCAAGGAAAATATGAAGACACACACATAGGAGAGGCTTTCAAGAAAAAATATCTAACCCCAACAGCCTTTGGAACGTGGAGGCAAGAGAATCAGGAGTTCCAGGCCAGCTTTGGCTACATGAGATATTCTGTATCAAAAAGCTAAAACTAAAGATAAAATTAAAAGTTACTTTCCCTTTCAGATCAGGCATTTTACTAATCTGACATTTTTTAGTTTTAAGTTGTAGTAATTTTTTTTAAAAATCACAAATGTACAAAATTTCATTAAAATGGATCTTCAAAACTTTAATTGAACCATTATTTCATGAATGTCACAGACCATCCCTAGAAAGTAAAAACTACTTTTCAGCTTATCAATAGAAAATTGAAATCCAAAGAGATTTAGTGATTGACAAAATATTATAAACTTGGACAATGATAGGCAAGGACCAATGTTGCATGGTTGACTGAAACACCAGTGCCCACCTCACATCTCAATATTCTGTGTAGTAAGTATACAGTTTAAAGCCTGAGAACTAACAACTGGGTGGTGGTGGCACACGCCTTCAATCCTAGCACTCTTCGGTCAGAGGCAGGCAGACCTCTGAGTTTGAGATCAGCCTAGTCTCCAGAGTGAGTTCCAGGACAGCCAGGCCGGACAGAGAAACCTTACCTCGACAAACCACACAAAAACAAAAACAAAAGACAGACAGCTCATTAAGTCCAGACCATCTCCCTGTCACTTGATGTTTGTACTATCAGAATGGGGCTCTTAGAATCACATTGAATTAAAACCTCTCTCTCTCTCTCTCTCTCTCTCTCTCTCTCTCTCTCTCTCTTAAAATATTGTCTGCTTATTATAAAGTTAGTAAGCTTAAATAAATTCTTCTGGTAAAAGAACGTCCTAAGATACTCTGTTCGAGGGAGTTATTTCCTGTCTGGAATGTGGCTGAGCATATCTTCAGACTCTGTACAATAAGCACTGAAATGCTGCCTAACTCTCTAGTTGTGAAACTTAAGTACACTATTTCACTTTTGTGTTTGGAAGCACTGATACCTAAGAGGGTTCTGTGACGATCCATTAACCGATATTAAAAACGCTCATGGTATCATGTAAAGCATAAAATAAATGTTCAATCATTTTTGTAATGCTCCAGTGAGCCTTAGAAGTCCTCTCTGAGTGTTAGAAAAGACTAGTGTGCATTACCTTTGGGAAAAAAATAGAGGAGAGTTTATAGTCTCAGCACTTGAGAGGCTAAAGCAGGGGATCATGGGTTTGATGCCAGCCTGGGCTATACAGCAAGATTCTATCCAGAACAGTAGTTTTGTTTGCCAGAGAGTGGACCTTTGCAAAGTGTGAAATGTTCTATTTTTGTGACACAAGCAGGGTCAGAGCCTAGTGTTCAGGAATGTCATGTAACATTCACCGCAGCATATGTTCTGTTATATATTGAGGCTTCCTGAAGATTGGAACAGTTATCATAGACACAAGTCCCTGTATCTTCCAAAAGGGAAATCCAAAGATACTTCATCAAACTTACATGACCGTGGAAGACCTCTCAATCAAGTTATATGGAAGTTTACAAACTAAAAATGAAGAGACATGATGATGACTTTTAATGAACATTCTAGACCAGCTCAGCCATTTAAATGTGTTTAACCCACACTCACACACTTATAAAGGTTTATTGTATTGCTCGCTTTTGTCAGTTGAGCTGTTTTTGTTTTATAAAACAAGGTTATCTTTTTATCCCAGTCTGGTTCAGACTCATGGTCCTCCTGCTCCATCCTCTGGAGCTGGGAACACAGGTGTGTCATCACGCCTGCCAAGATACAATTGTTTTAAAACACAACCTAAAATTGAGAATGATCCTGCCAGCTTGCCTGAGACAAATGACCTCAGTCGTCAAAACTGCCTGCCCGATGTAAATGGAAAATAATGCTCTGATCATGATATGGGAAAAATAAGAAGGTGATAGTTTATCTAAGACATCTGTAATGCAGCAGGTGTGGACAGTGATAGCTACAATTAGTGTAAAGAAAGGATTAAGAGCATTTAGGTGGGAAATCGAAGTAATGAAGGCAGGTTCTTAGACTTTTTGAACCCCAGGCCAGGATGCTTTACTGAGTCCACCATAAGGTAGTAAGTACTAGATGATCTGCAGGGAAAGGGGTCAGGAAGCCTGAAATGCCCTTCAACAAAATCCTCGATTTCTCGCTCTCTCTTTCCTTTTTTAAGTAAACCGTTCTCATTTTTATTCTCTACAACTCTGAAATGGAAAAATAGAGAAAAACTGCAAAATTCCCTAGCATGAGGAAAAAAGGAAATATAAAAGGGAAGAGATGCTCAACATGCAGAAACACAGGGTTCGGTGCCCCGCCCCGATGTTTATATTTTTCTCCTTGTCCCCGCCCCCCGACCATGAGAGAGCCCAGGCCACGCCCCCATGCCGAAGTTCCAGGGCCGGACTCGCAGACCTCTTCAGCTTACCCGCAGGGATTCCCTCACCAGCCAATCGCGTCTGAGCCACGGGACCGCCCAGAACAAAGATGGCCGGGGCGGCCTCGGTGAGGGCACACTGATCCAAACGCCAGGCGCACCCGCCGGGACAGCAAAGACAGAGTGGCAACCGAGCGGCTGAGAGCATGGAGGAGGGCAGCAGCGGCAGCAGTGGTGGCAGCGACAGCAACGCCGGCGGGAGTGGCGGGGCGCAGCAGAGAGAGCTGGAACGCATGGCTGAAGTCCTAGTTACCGGAGAGCAGCTCCGGTAAGGAAAGGCACTCAGTTGGTGGGCTCCCGGTTGCACTATGCCTGCCGCGGTCCGGAGCACACACGCGAGCTGGCTCGGGGCAGGCGTGTCGCGCAGGGCGTAGGGACAGTTGCAAGCGAGTGGGATGGTTGGTTCGCGCCGCGCGGGTGCCTGGCTACTGCAGCCCGGAGGCTGGCAGCTTCAACGAGGCTGCGGGGACCGATGCCGGGAACGCGCGGTGCAGGCTGCGCCCTAGCTGGGTTGCTGCAGCCATGCGTCCCGCCGACTCGCCACCACTCAGTACGCGCAAACCCCTTGCCAGGTGTCCCTGATGACTGCCTAGCCTGCTCACTCCAAAGAGAAGAGATATCGGGTGGGACCCAAGCCCCTGCACTTTCAGATAAAAGGCGCCAGCTCCCATGATTGCCTTCGGTTCAGCTTTCTTTTTTGCTAGCAAGGCATGCTTCCCTTCTTTGATCCTCAGTTTACTTTTATGTAAAACCTGGCGGATATCTGCGAGTTCAGAGAAGGGTCGCTTCTCTTCCAGAACCTTTCCCAGCTCTTTACCTATCCCTTAATTGGCACACTGTCAGGTGTCACTTGGATCCGCAAGGGGGCGTGAAAGTACCTTGTTTAGTGGCCACGTTTGGGACCCTGGTGTTGGCCCATCGCCACGCACTTTTCCTAGAATTATCACTTGCCATCTCACAAATCCAGGAACAAGCACTTACCCCAGGCCTCCTTTGACATTCCCATCGCTTCCTGTTCCTTTTTCTTGGGCATATGCTTAAGACTTGTGCTTCTACAGCTGCCGATATTGGGGGTTGTAAATCAGACTGCCACTTAAAAATGAATCCAGCTCTGCGGAAACTTAAACCATGAGCCGGGTCCCACCTGAAAGAGGTGTGCTAGTTCCCTCTAGTTCTTGGCTTGATTTTTTTTCCGGCTTATTTCAGTTTCTAGATGGCTGTTTCAAGACTTGAAGGAGAGTATGACAAAAGTCCCTGAAGGTCTGTAAAGCACTCGGGCTTTGCAGGGCTCAGTTTGAGAAAGTAGCTGTTGGCAGTCAGGATGGTAGAGTCCAGTGTGACCGAAGGAAAATCACGCATTTCAGTTCCTCGTTGAATCTCAAGTGTGTGGCCGAAATTGAAGGGAATTAAAAACCTGTTTTCCTTCATCAAGGGTATTTTGTAATCGAGATGAAGTAAAGTTTTTCTGATTTAATCTGACTTTCTTAATAGTTTATTGCTTTGTTCTTCACTATATTGATTGCTGTTTGAAAAGGCTTCGCTTGGGTGAGATTCCTTGCTTTTTATTTCTTTTACAAACATCATTATGTCTCCAAATCACTTTCTCCTTCCCGATACTGCTTCTGTAATGCACCTTCTCCAGCCTGCCCAGAGCGCTCGCAGACTTTCTCACCACAAATCTTAAGACCTGGGAGTTCAACCCAGGCTTGATTTTCTGTTCTCCACCGTGAAGCCAAGTTACCCGTCTCTGTTTTGAGAAAGGCTTTGAGCCTGACAGAATCCTGACTTTACCCTTGACTTAGTTAGTGTAGGGCCTTGGAGGAGGATGAGTAACAATACATTTTACCTGGTAGTGTTGTTATGAGGATTATGTGGAGTTAGCGTGTACACCTGTGGTTGCTGATAACACACCGTATGATCACTAGCCAGAGTAGCCGTGTTTGGATAAATCTGCTTGTCTGAGCTGTTTCCTCATCTGTAAAGTGGGCATGAAGATTAGAGAATTTCATGGGGTGCTTCTGAGAGTCTGACTTCAGGGCTTCCTTATTAGTTAGCAATCTGCAAAGGCTTGCTGGAATTAATGGGTACTCTTGGTCTCTCCGAATCACCACTTTTGACTTCCAGCCTAGTAAGATGTGTCCAGAGGGATTGTGTGTTGTGAAGGGCAGAAGATGTAAGACCAGGCTGCCCAAGTTTTTTCTTCCTTCTGCCTCTGCCATGTGTTACTTCTGCGACTTTGGGACAATTGACTTACTCTTTTGCCTCAGTTTTTTGTTTATAGAAGGGAGATTTAAAAGACAATTCACTTTCCGTTTTGAGAAGGCTGAGATGTTACATCCAAATTTGAGTATGATGGTATGCACCTGCAATCCCAGCATTTGGGAGGCAGGGACTGGAGAATTACAAGTTTGTGGTTAGCCTGACCTACATAGTAAGTACTAGGCTAGCAAAGGCCCTGTTTGTTTGTTTTTTGTTTTGTTTTTTAAGTCTGAGCAAATATTAACCATTTAAATTTGATTTGAATTTCACTTTTTGTTTCAGTTATTTTAAAGCAAATTTTAAAATCTTATTGTATGTGGGGGAGGGCAGGGGTTATGTGTGCCAATGTAAAGGTCAAAGGACAAATTTCAGGAGCTGATTCTCTCCTTCCATGTTGACATGCGTTCCAGAATCAAATTCAGGTTGCCAGGAGTTCACAGCAAGCACCTGTAACTCTGGAGCCATCCCTCAGGCCCAGCACAGTGGCTCATGTCTGTAATCCCAGCACCCCCAGGGTTAGAGGGAGAGAGGTTAGGCGTTAAAAGTCATCTTGGCTACATAGTGAGTCTGAGGCCAGCCTGGGTGGGCTTGTGGGATTCAGTCTCAAAACAACAACAACAAAACAAAGTTACATAATACTTAAATTTTTGGTAACTGGAGTGGCCATATGCCTGGTGTTAGGTGTCTGGTTAGCCTCATTGTTCTAGCCAGAATGGATTTTTCTATTCTAACTGTGTTCATCTTGTATGATTCCTGACATTTAGTGATAAGCAGGCTTTCTGCCTCTGATTGCTTCACACCACCACAGGTTACTACTGCCCTGGCTTACATTTCCATGGTTTCTGAATCATCACAGTGAACTGTAGGTGATTGAAAAAAAAAATGGGGAAATTCAAGCCTAGCGTGTAAAAGAAGTTTCACTTCCAGCTTGAGTTATGTCCAACTTCTTTTCTACTTTTTAGAGATTGGGTCATACTCTATGTAGCCTACTCTGGCCTAGAACTCATGGCAGTCCTTCTGCCTCAGCCTCCCAAGTAAAAGCAATATAGCTACGGAGCTACCACACCTAGCCCCTCTTTTCTGTTTTTGTAGTGTGTTCTCTTGAGGAAAGCCAATGAACCCCAGGACTCTTGCTCTTTTTTTCCCCCCACAGAATGGGGAGCTAGTATCCTCCAGTGTCTGATTGCAGAATCAGACAAAGTGGGCTCCAAGCTGGAAAGTGCTCAGTACACTAAAGCAGTGAGCGTGGAGGAATGCTCTGACCCTTGTCGGCTCCATGGACCTGGCATGCTGCATGGGGCTGACACTTTTTTGCAGTTGGGTGCATAAAGGCAACAGAAGTCACCACATACATAGTCTCTTTCTTTTCTGGTAGGAGCTGTTCCTAATTCTCTTCACGTTCCTCCCTCATCTTAAAAGAGTTTGCTTCCCTTCCCAGAACTTTTTTCAAAAAAAAAAAAAAAGAAAGAAAAAGAAAAAAAGAAAAATACCCAAAACAACAACAAAAAAATCAGAATTTCGTACAAGCATGTAATCTGTATTGACTGAACCCATCTCTACTTCTCTTAACTCCCCATAGGTTTCCCATTTGCTTATTTATTTATTCATTTTTAAGATTTTTTTTTGTTTTATATATGTGAGTACACTGTAGCTATTGTCAGACACACCAGAAGAGGGCATCAGATCCCATTACAGATGGTTGTGAGCCACCATATGGTTGCTGGGAATTAAACTCGGGACCTCTAGAAGAGCAGTCATTGCTTTTAACCACTGAGCCATCCCTCCAGCCCTCTTTTCTTTTTTTTTTTCTTCATGACTTCATGTATTCTTTTTAAAACTTAGTCCACTGAATTGCCAGTATTTGCATGAGCAAATCTACTGGAGCATGGGTAATTTCCCAGGGGCTGCATCACTGAAGAAAACTGATTCTCCCTCTCCTGTCACATCTGGAAGAGCCTCTTTAGCCACAGTCATCCTCTTTCTCTGGCCTTTACATCTTTCTGCCCCCTCTTCCACCATAATACCCGAACCATGGAAGTAGGGGGCATGATACAGACGTCTCACTTATGCCGAGTATTCCCAGTCTCTTGCTCTCTGCACATGGACCAGTTTTGATCACCATCTACTGTCTAAGCACTGATAAGGGCTGAGAACCGCATTGCTCTATAGGTATTAAGATGAGTTGGGTATTTCGATACTATGTCTTTTTAGCAGGATAATTATAGAAGGTTCTTCCTAGGGTTTATAACCTACCCACCCTGTTCTCGGCCCAAGCACCAGGCTTGAGTTCTGTTGGTGGATCATCTTGCCCAATTATTTTTCATGGTTTTGCATCTTAAACAACAACAACAAAAATGCATTAGTGTCTCTAACACGTCCTATTGCCTTTACTTTATAAATGAGAGCACTGAACACTTGAGGTAACTGGCTACAGGCTCTTCTGTCAAGAAGTGGTAGAGTTGAGAATCTGAGTCCTTAACACAGTTTGCCAACCCACAGTTGATTGCCGTTCCTGACTAGTGATGAGGAGGATCAAAAAACAGGTTTTTTAGGGCTCAGGTCCCTCAGTAGGAAGAACATTTACTGTCCAAACATCAGGACCTTAGTTCAGATCTTTAGTATCTGTAGCTAGATGTGGCGGCATGCAAACCTATAACCTCGGTGCCATTGTGATAGATACAGGAGGATCATTGAAGATTACTGGGTGCCACCTTAGCTTAGTTTAGTGAGAGACACCGTCTCAAAGGAATAAAGTGAGAACATACCAGATAATACTCCTCTGGTCCTGCATGTGCCTGCACCACACACACATATTTCACACAAAAATTATGAATATCACATTAAGACATTTTTAAAGAGTTCTGTATCCGAGACTGTCACATTCTTGTACAACAACTTTTGCCAACAAAAAGTAGAACAATTGTTTTGTCTGTGAACATCTAACTTATCCCTGGAAGTATTCATGTTTTTGATAAGACAGATGGCTTGCTTTCCTCCCTCTGGTATCAA